GACTCAGGACAAGGTGCGTTTCCTATAAGTCTTCCTACCAATATGACCAAGTTGCGAAAACAAGGTCAACAACTTTGATTGGGTTAGTTAATATTCGGCCGTTGTCTGGTAAAACGTTTTTGTGTCGTCCTTGCTAATAATGTCAATTCAAGCTTTCGTTTCAAGCCATTACGATAATTTTGTTCTAATTCACTATTATATTTGTACCACGACCACAGACCCTCTCTGGAAATGATGATGCATACAATGGACTCCGGACTAGGTGCGTTCCTCTAAGTCTTCCTACCAATAAAACTGAGTTGCCAAAACAAGGTCAAAAAATTTCTATACAACGAAAGAAGACTGTGACCACACAAAAGACCACACCATCTTGGTCTTCATATCTTCGAAAAAAATGAATAGGTTGTGAAACTCCAGCCAGTTCATTTGTGTGAAATAGTCACCCTAGGCGTCCTAAAATACTAAAAGGCATGCTAGTTGGGTTTCCCAAAGTGAGGTTCTCGGGATGCCTCGAAATTCCATTTGGTCCGGCTTCTCAAAAAGCTTTATTTAGCTTGCCTGATTCTCTTTACTGATAAAATAGTAAACTTGGTTGTGCCTGTCAGGCGACAACATTAACACTAAGTCAAACGTTTAAGGATGCCAGTGGACCACAAAGTAGACTCGGCAATGATACTGTGTGCCTGGTAAGTATAATGAGAATTATCGAAAGATCAGATGCTTTATTGGCAGCATATTGGAAACAAATGTGAATTTAGGAGGTTTGTGGATGCCTTGAAATGTAAACATGCCCTATTTAACTTCATATCTTCAATGCCCTATTTACCCAGTGGTAGCCAGGGCTCTGTTGCCGCCTAACGTGTACGGTTTCGAATTCAATTGTGGACACTGGTGAGGCAAAATGATGTCAAATCGGCAGCTTATCTTGGGTGATAAAGAATCTTACTAGGCAAAGATAAGCAAAACCCAGTAATATCGTAGGGTTTTATGCCAATTTCATTGTGGAGAACTCAACCGCCAGGATATCGAACTCCTTAAGTGCACTAAGGTGACCAACATTTGCAAAGGTAAGAATACCAGGTAAAAATCAATGAGGCCTTATTTATTTCCACAAAAATATAAAATAACTCCCTTAATTCTTCATATAATGTGAAAAATGTTTATATATAGAACTGAAAATGTGACTATCAAGATGTTGCGGCCTTTTGTTGTCGTATACAAGTTGCTTGATCTCGTTTTCTCATTATTGGCACCATACTATGATTCGTTTAAAAGATTTGCTGATAATGGCAAGGCTCGCTGATGATACCCACCTCAATGCCGGAGGAACTTCTGAGAATGCGCTAAGTCTACGATCCAACGCTGAAAATTAGCCTGATTACTATGTAGTTCAGCAAAGCTACGTTACTCTAGGTGGTCCTGACGACATAGACATGTTGCGAAAACAATGCAAGACAACTTTTATCAATAAAAGTTCATCAAATTAAAATGAATAGTTTTAATTCAAGTATATATGTGATTAAGTTGTTGCCAGGTAGCCACCATTCTAGGAATAGTAGAAATACTTCTAAAAAATCTTAGTTTTTGCACACAAATCTTATTGAATTATACTATCTTATGATAAAGTACACATTTGCGTTATAACATTGCTATACTGAGCGAGAATCTAAACAAAATTAAGTAAAAGCCGATGAAAAATTTAATTTATATTTACCTGTCTGTAACGCTGATCTAAGGGTCCTATATAAATCAAACAAGCGGCCTTTAATATAGACTTTCCAATTAGCTGGGGCTCAATGTTTTGTAGTTGCTCCAACTCTTCTTGCCATCGGACCGTCTCTTCTTCCAATCCTTGTATAAGCGATTCTGCGCGCTCAAGTTTAACCTTGTTAGACAGAAAAGAATTAGTATACCTTAAAACAAATAAGCTTCTAAACAGAAATATAACTTTAATCTATCCAATATTTGCTTCTTGCAAATATTAACTTAATGGAGACTTAGGAAATAGTAGTTCATAGTTTGCCAAATCAGCCAATAAAAAGAACCATTACAGAAGTAATCAGAAAAAATCCTATTTAAAGCACATATTAATTAGGTTTTCCTTTATTGTTCGTCAGATTGAGCGATACAAACCTGTTGCAGTGAGTTGTTGCAGTGTACACACTAGAAATTAGGCCAAGTGATGGTGTGAATAGAATCTATTGGCTTCATGTACAAATGTCAAAAGTTTACCAATGTGCTGATGGCGAACAGTTGCTATCATGAAAGCAATATAATACATTTTGTGAAAATATTTTATTAACATTACTCTCTTAATAGTTATATGACACATGTACACATGACAAATGTTTGGGGTAAAAAAGCTGGAAATGGGAAAACAAGTCTTAATCATATCAAAGGTTTAACTGATCTTAATTTGGAATCGTAACCATCTTTTCTAAGCTTACCTCAGTGAGTCGAAACTTCTCCTTACAACGGTCATAATCGATCATTTTTATATCCATCTGTTCTCGCAGTCCCAATAGCTGATCCTCCAACTTTGCAAGCTCAAGCTGCTTTTGAAAGATTATTTCAATTTGCTTGTCGTACACGAGTTTCGCTTCGACAAGTTTTGCTTTTTTTGGCTCAATCATCTGCAATAAAAGGAGAACGAAAATGATGAATTGAAAAGGAGTCATGTCTGGAACCTAGAATAGCGTATAAAGCTAGTGGCAAGCGTCTAAAGACAACTATGGCAAATATAAAAACTAAGTTAAAATGGGAAATATTTGGTTATTTTTAATGGCCATGCTGTAGCAAACTTATGGCATACATTGATGCACCTTTTAGTCACAGATTATTGTAAAAAATCTACTCCCTGATTTGGTCACATATTATGGATACAAATGGCGGTGTGAAGTAGACTGTTTGAAAACGATCTAAATATGTCTCATCATATATTTATCAAAACCAGAGCAAGTAAATGCAGAAAATGTCTACAGCTTGACTTAAACTACCTGATTGGAAATAATACATTTTTTCTTAGTAAAGTAAAGATTTATTTCATGTGCAGAAAGGTTTAATCACGAGTAAATAAGTATATAGAGCATTCTGTACTATGTGTAAATTAAGCTTGAACGAGCATGACTGTGAACATTTTCAAGCTATGGATATTTGGACATTTTGAGCTATAGCGAGACAAAATGAAGCTAAATTGTGCACAAACAATGTACCAATAATGCTTATTAGCTTGAAAGCATCCAAAATTATCATATAACGTAATCTAATTGTCATTTCACTCACAATAACTGTTCAAAAACAAAGAAAAAAACAAGAATCTTAGCAAATATATGAGTACGACATAATAGAGGTTTGGTTCTATGTATATCATACAACAAACAAAAGTAAAAATCAACGAGTGATAGTTGAATTTCTCACAATGATGTGAGTAGGAGACTTTTAGAGAAAGAAGCTATTAGTTTTGTTTCCAAAAGGCTCTCTCATTCAAGATAGAAGGCAATATCCAATTCGCAGAGGTTTCATCGTAACCCCAGCAGTAGTAGAAATCAGATAATTCGTGTCAAGTGGCACTGTTAAATCTGAGTAAAATCGGTGAAATACAGAGCAGGTATTACTTTCAAGCCTAGCATTACTGGTATTTTTCGAAAAATATGAACATGTAAAATACAAAATCGAGTTACTCAATACCGTCCAGGCTGATGAAAGAAGAATTACTTGAATTTTCTACAATTAGATAAGTAGGGTTGCCATGTTCAGCAGGATCAGCATACGCTTACAAAATATAATACAACTAGTACTATAAAAAGCTTGTATTGAATTAATTAATATTTTGAATGCATTCTGAAGAATACATATATCTATAAACATAATTTTATAAGAGACGCATTGACCCTATTTCGTTTAAGGACCGGTAGTTGAATTTCCCAAAATGATATGAGTAGAGCTGATGTTTTCATTGAATTTCACACAGGCTTGCTTTCCCAAAAGGTATTCTTAACCGCTACGCCACATTGTCCTGAGTGCCCTTGGGTCACAGGGCAAATGTGAATTTCAAGGAAGGCAAGACATTTTCCCATGTCAGATTCTGTGGTAGGATTGTCGATGAAACGAAAAATAGATTATGTAGTCGATTGTCATAGCAAATATAACTTTGCTTCATCGATAATTCCACCAAAGAACATATTATGAGAATATGCTTGGTCATTTCTGAAATTCACATCCAACTATGACCCAAGGGCACTCAGGAAAATGTGGTGTAGTGGTTAAGTTGCCGAGATGACGCGCTGCACTTACATGGTTCGAGTCCCACTGGGGTTGTTAATATGACCTAAGCGAGGGCAAAACTGTAGTCTTCCTTGTGAAATTCAATGGAACCGTTAGTTCTACTCATATCATTGTGGGAAACTTCAACTACCAGTCCTTTATCACCTTAAACGAAATAGGCTGAATACATTTCACATAACTGATTTACTAGCAGTCTCGGAACCATAGATTTAAATTAAAAATAATTTAATAAACATATCACAATCCGATTGATATAAACTTGTGAGCGAGCTGGAAGGCTGATCTTCTAAGAATATCATGATAGAAATAATTATTTAAAAAAAAAAAAGAATTTATAACTCCTTTTGGTATGCTTCCTAATTTCGGACCAGCCTGACGGCCATTCCCGCAGATAAATTTACAAGTCTTAATAAACATAGCCAGAGAAGCAAGCAAAGTCTTCCATTCTGAGTGAGGAAAAAAATTTCAAGACGATTTATGGAATACATGGAAAAATACTCTGGAAAAATCCTTTGGCAGAATATTGTTATTGAATGTGCTTTAATCAACAATGTACTAAAATTTTTAACTGTGAATCTTTGTGAAAAACAAAAGCAACTCATTATAATTGCTGAAATGTATAATATACATTTTGTTCTATATTTATCATACAACAAACAAAAGAAAAATAATCAACGAGTGATAGTTGCATTTCTCAC